AGGATTTGTGTTCCATAAACCCAAGTCCTGGAGAATATGATACATGTCTTGGGTCATAGATTTTAGAGCTGAAAATTATATTCCGATTGGAAGAAGATTGTGTTTTCGAGCGTGTTTTCTTTTGGTTTCTATGCGTCTTGTCACTTCCCTCCTTCCCTGCTTTATGTGCATTAAGTATGCATAGCTGTTCAGGTTGAATTGGCAAAGTATTTTATGCAAAAATATCAATGATTCAATCTTTTTTGGTGTTTATATTTGGATCTTGTTGTATTAATTTGCTATTTATCCAAGAACATGTGTTGCATTGTGCTTGATTGTGTCATTCTTCTATATCACATTTTCCCTTTCATCATTTTTTCCCTTTATCTTATTGCTTGCTTGTATATGTTCAGGCATCTACTCTACCGATATGCGTTTTCTAGTTTCGTCTTTTCATTGCCTAATTGCCCATTTGAAGTCTTTACCTTTAGCAGCATGTAATCGTCTTAAACTCTTTGACAATATGATCGTTAGAAAGGGTAATAAATAACCCCTTTTCTGCAAAATATATGAAAAATGATAATTTTATTATATGTATATTTTGTTTGTATAGTCTAAATTTGTTGTTGCTAGTAAGTATAGTCGTAATAGATGAAAGTATAATGATAAAGGTGAACAGTTAAAAGCACCAGATTGCTCCTTAGCAACAAGAGAAAGATCAGGGTTGACAACTCCTGTACAATATGCTAGCCCCAATTTGGTGATTTTAGAACATGACAGGCTTGAAGTGGATCCAATTGAAGTGGATCCAAATAGGGTTCACATGATAGGGAGAGCATCGACCTTGCTCAAGACCAAGGTTGACAACTCTTCTGTACAATATACCAGCCCCAATTTGGTGATTGTAGAGTAAGACAGGCTTGACGTGGATCATAATATGGTTCATATGGTAGGGAGAGTGTTGATTTTTGGTGTATCTGAAATGTTGTCTTGCTAGGTTCATTAGCAATGGCATGTTGGATCATTAGTTGCAATTCAGTCAACTTAGTAGTCCATGGCCTGAGTTAGAACCAAGCCAGACAGCTGGAGCTTCATGCAGAGATTAATATGTTGATGAGAGTTAGGCGCTTTATATGTTATTAGTGGGTTGAACAGATACTAGTCTGATAATATTTTCACCAAATAGCGGATTTTTCTTGTTATAAGTAACTTGTATGTATTTTGAGGGGATATGGCTTTTTGTTGTTTGGTACCATATGTGCACCTTGGTTCCCACTATTTTTCTCAGTTATGTTCATCTAATGATGACCATATGGTTGTGTTGTTTGGCTACTTTTGTTCCTTTTTTCCCCCAAACTTTGTCTTTTGTTGGTTTCAGTTATAGTTATTTGTCTTTTGCCAACTATTGAAATTGCCTCTGGAAATATTTTTATTCAATTAATGAGGGGAAGTGATTTGGGACGGTTTTAAAGGGTCTTGTAATGATCTTTTTTGATTGTAGACATATTCTTTTTGGGAGTAAAAGAAGATGGTGATCTTTTTCCCGAACTTGTAGTGATCATAAACAACCAACGGTAACTTGGCTTTTTTAACGTTGTATGAACAAATGGATTGGGGCCTTCTTTTATGAAATGTCATTCTTGCCTTTGTAGGTGATGACATTCATTGAAAATTTGTCTTTACAAGAAAACTCAGGAGAGAGGGACCATTCAGTTCATAGAAAAGCTGGACACAGGACTGATTGTTACCTAACCTCTTACTTTATATATTTACTTCCCTTAATCACTTCCAATCCACATTTTGTAAATGCTTCATCATTTGCTCATGTGCATTGATTGTTTTCTGGTGGGAATTATCCGATATTCTTGTACCATTTCTGGTGGAGTTCCAACTTTTTTTAATCACAGATTATCTTTTACAAGCTTACTTGATCAGCAAGTGCTTTTTTTCTCTCTCCGTGTGGGACATATATTGTTTTATTTTGTGTTCTCAGATTTCTATTTAGTGGGTGCTGGTTTTGAGGCAAGGAATTTGGGAGCTGCAATAGCAATGTCGGAATGCTTGTGTTGTGGGCACTGGGCTTTGTTTCTGCATTAGGAATTCTGACTTTCAGTACGTTTGCCCCTGTGACAGTTTAATGAGTTTGATAGATGATTCCTTTTGCCTTGATCATATCATCTCTTAGCGGCCGTTTCAATCCTAATTTTGAGTGTGTTTGGTGGCCAAATACCATTGATGATAGAGAACACCAAAAGCTATTTCTCCATTTATTTCCTTGAGTCGTTTGGGTTCTGTTCTCCTGCTTATCATGGTTGGCTGCATGATCCCATTATGTTTGGCCTGCTACCTTTAGAGCTTTCCGAGTACCATCTGAGTTCAATCTATGCAAGCTATGTATAGTTCATGGATGCAACAGAGTTCAATCTATACAAGCTATGTATAATTCATGGATGTCGCAGGTGCCCTTTCTTTGGAGATAATAGCATATGTGTATATCTGGTGTTGGACGTCGAATCTGTTCAATTTTATGAAGCTTACTACATCATAGAAGGGCTGATTGGCTAGCATCTCAGTGCCTTTGTGTTTTTTCCCTCTCAGATTGCCAGAGAACATGTATTTTTCTGTGTGTAGGGTGGATTGGATCTTATTTATGCCAGTATTTTGTTTGAATGTGGATCTTATTTGTATTCTACTCAATTGTATTATTTTGTTTGAAGTTACCATCCTACATATTGCTGGTATACTCAAACTGTGTTGCCCTTGTGGAGTTATTATTAGAAAAAAGTAGTAAACCTCGTTCTAAAATGCGAGTAGTACATTTCTGGGATCCCTTTTTGCATATGGGATCTCAATTGTTCCTAGATTTAATTGAGCACGGTGGTTCTTATAATGTTACTTGCATTAGTATGTAGTGGTGAACTTTCAGAGAATGCTCTCCTGGTGGTAAACTAATAACGGAAGTTTATTGTGATAACATTTGAACGCTGGTAATTTTAATGGTGTTACTACTGTATTTTGTCTTCAAATGTGGATGTAGTGCTTTAAAATTGTGGATTTTTTCCCATTCTGTGCTGAATTTGACTTCCCTATGTATTAGTGTAGTCTCATTACTTAAATTTTGTAAATTTTTTGTTAACTTGCAGGTAATATCCTACTTCTATACTCCTGCATTAGGAGGCGATAATTGGTTTGGTAACATTTCAAATAAGGATACAGACGGTGATTTTGTACTTACTGAGGGTTTCCTTCGCTCCAATTTGTTTGGTACTCCATCAGTGCAACACGAATGCATCCCTCAGGCTATCCTTGGGATGGATGTCATTTGTCAAGCTAAATCGGGGATGGGGAAAACAGCTGTCTTCGTTCTTTCAACCCTGCAGCAGATTGAGCCAGTTACAGGTCAAGTTGCTGCGCTGGTTTTGTGCCATACGAGGGAGTTGGCATACCAGGTTAGATATCTAACCTGCATCTATTCTTTCTCATTTTTTTTTTTTGTTTTGTGAATTTTGTGAGAATGAACTAGGTGTGAGAAATCAGGTGAACATCTAAGATTATCAGAATTTGAACTGAAATTTACCTGATTCTTGCAGATTTGCCATGAGTTTGAGAGGTTCAGCACTTATTTGCCGGATATTAAAGTTGCTGTATTTTACGGTGGAGTGAACATCAAAACCCACAAGGAACTGCTTAAAAATGAGTGCCCTCACGTTGTTGTTGGCACCCCTGGGAGAATTTTGGCTTTGGCAAATGATAAAGACCTTAACTTGAAGAATGTCAGGCATTTCATTCTTGATGAATGTGACAAGATGCTTGAGTCTCTTGGTACGTATTTGCAGCATCCGTTTAATTTGGGAGGACCACTTGATTACCATTAGTTTGTTGCCATGGTCTTAGTAGTGGTGGGTTTTCTTTTTAGTTTCTTCATCCTTATCATCCCCATTTGGTTCTTGGGTGTATGTCTCTAGATATGCGGAAAGACGTGCAGAGCATTTTCAAGATGACTCCTCATGACAAACAGGTTATGATGTTCTCGGCTACGCTCAGCAAAGAGATTCGACCTGTATGCAAGAAGTTCATGCAAGATGTATGTCCTGTGGCCAGCTCACCTTCTCGAATTTATCGATCTTTTTATTATCACAGATATCTGGAGCAGCTATTAGATTGTAACATCGCTGAAGTTTAACAGCGAAATTGGATTCTTAGTGCTAGTATTCCATCTAGATTAGTGGGGTTTCCCTTTTTAATTTCTTCTGTGGGACTCTAAAATTTTTATATGTTAGTAATTAGTTGGGATCAGGGCATTGCTTTTTGTCCATCATATGGTTATTGTGGGTGGGCTTGGGTGGTTGGTTTTGGTATTTATCAGTATTCTTTGTCTCTTGTTCCACACTCTCTCTTTAGGGTTAGTTAGCTGGGTAGCTCTTTTTGCCTGGTTCTGAGTTGCTTAGCGCCTTTGTGGTTTAATACCATAAGCCTGTCACCCCCTAATCTATTAGTTACATATAAATGGCATCCTTGTTGGACTGGTTTCCCTAGGCTATCATATCTTAGAATGGGTACTCTCACTTGGTTGGCCCTGGATATTGAGTTTTGGAGGTTGTTCAGCGTCATTGATTTGGTACTGGATTCAGAGTTGAGGGCCAGCTGCTAATCTAGTTTAACCTGACATTTCTTCCATTTCAGCCCATGGAAATATATGTCGATGATGAGGCCAAGTTGACTCTTCACGGACTCGTGCAGGTAACTCTTTTATTCTTTCGCTCTTTGTTTACTATAGATGTATTGAATGCCCTCCTTATTTGATTTCTTTTTATGCAGCACTACATTAAGTTGAGCGAGCTTGAAAAGAATCGCAAGTTAAATGACCTCTTGGATGCGTTGGATTTCAATCAAGTTGTGATCTTTGTTAAGAGTGTGAACAGAGCTGCTGAGCTCAACAAATTGCTTGTGGAGTGCAATTTTCCTTCTATTTGCATCCATTCTGGGATGTCTCAAGAAGAAAGGTAGGGTGGTGTTTCTAAGCACTCAAATTGCTAAATTTAGTGAGTTTATAGTTAAATCATTATACATTTTTCTGATGTTGATTTAATAAGAAATGTTTTATTGATCAAACTTTGTAGCTTCTAAACAAAATCGCACATTCTAAGGTATTAAATAAAAAAACATTTTAAAGATCCTATGGCAGATGTTGGGAAGATATTTTGCCTGTGTATGTTTGCTATATGTATTGCACTTTTTGGCTTGGTCAATGGTGGGATCTGAACATGGGGATGGGTGTTTTGCAGTTATCATTACCCTGATCATTCAAGTTAGGAGCTCAATCACGTGTCTTGTAGTGGGAACCTATGCCTTCATATACTTAGTTTTCTCTTCTTTACACCCCCTATGTTTCTATTTATTTACGCAGATCAATTTGAGATGTGCCTTTCGAAAAGTGAAGTGTTCACTGTGATATTAATTCTTGTATTGGACACCCCGGTTTCTCTGAATTTTTGAGTGAAAAGATGGCACAATATCCTTTGTCACCTGATACTTGCGTACTCATCAGTTATGTTATTCTTCAGTATTATTTCTTTGTTTGTTTCTGCTTTCAACTTTATAGTCACATCTTTGGTGAAATGAAATACAACTTTCACAATTGCATTATATGTTTCTTCTTCTTGCATTTTCAGTTTTCTCATCCCTTGTGCATTTATATTTCATCTATTTTATTGATATTTTACTCTCTTTTAACTGATAAGCTTGTCATAGATTGCTTTAATGCGCTCCTTGGCCACGTTGCTGGACATGGTCCAATGATCCTAGTTTGAACTTGTAGAACCTGGTTGAATAAAGATTTTTAGTTATTATTATTTCTTTAAATCTCTTTGTAAATGAATTTAACCTTTTTTGTATTGTTTGCATTTTGATAACTAACGTTACTTGGAGATTTTTTTTTCTACTTTTTTTCAAGTCATCTATTGTTATGTACTATTATGGTATGTAATTTGTGGTTGGTGCTTTAAGGGTGGATGCAATGGAAGATGCTCATACGTGACCCATCAGTACATGCTTTGTTGTGGTTGTGATGACGTGCCTTACATAGGATGGTTGGCAGTGATTTAGGAATGGGGTGCAAGATTTGTGACTTGTTGTTTTGCTTGTTGCAAGATTTTGTGATGTGCTCATTGATTGAATATTGGAAGTAAGATAGGTTGCCTTTATGAGATTTTTGTGACCCTAGCTTAAGCTTGTAAGTAGGTGAAAGAGAGATTTTTTTACTTTATTATAGTCATTAAGCTCTTCTTAAATGTTTTAAGCCTTTGCCCATTTTTATGAATTTAGATATGGTGTTTGTTATGTGCATTTTTTGATTGTTGATTTTATGTACCAATATGACCTTATATTGTTTTATTTTGATGCCGTGATGGACAATCAATGGAAGATGCTCATCTATTGTGCACTGACATAGTTTTGATCGATGAGACTCAAAACGTTGCTCAACACAAAGTTAGAGCTTTGGAGGGATGCTCTAGAATCTAAAGGTTTTTAAATGAGCCGGAGTTTGAACTAAGACAAAGCCGGAGTTTGAACTAAGACAAAGTATATGGAAAACAAGTTTAGTAATGATAGGAGTAGAGACGAGGAAGTAGTTAACATTGACGGTCAGGAAATACCAAACAGAGCGCATTATCGATATCGTGGGACGATAATCCAGGGAAATGGAGAGAATGAGGATGATGTCGCGAATAGAGTTAGATTTGGATGGGCGAAGTGGAGATGTACAACTGGAATTTTATGTGATTGCCGTATACCAATCAATCTGAAGGGCAAGTCTTATAGGACAACTGGAGACAAGTTTTGCTATTTGGGGTGGAATGTTGGGCTGTTAAAAAACAATATACTCAGAATGAAAGTAGCGGAGGTGAGGATGTTGAGATGGATGAGCAGAAAGACAAGAAAGGATACAATTCGAAATAAATACATTCGGAAAAATTTAGGTGTGGCACCTATAGGTGATAAGATTAGAGATAGTAGACTTTGGTGGGCTAGCCATCTGTGACACAAACTCAGTACAATACCTGTTAGGTGGTGCGAGTTAGTTCAAGTGGAAGGCTAAAAAAGTGTAAGGGGTAAGGCCCAAAAGGACATGGTTTGAAGTAGTAAGAAAAGATATGACAACCTATGGCCTTACTGAGGGTATGACCCCTAATAGAGCATAATGGTGGACCAGGATTTGTGTATCAGACGCCAATTAGTTGGAAAAGGCTTTGATGGTGATGATTATGAGGACTTGGTTTGAGTGTTTTTGGTAGAAAATGTGTTGAGCTTGATAAGAAATTTATGATTTAATTAAATTTTTTTGATGAATTTATGATTTAATTAAGTAATAAAATAAGTGCGGGTTTATTATCATAATTTCATATATATATGCACAACATCATATGATTTGAGGTTTACTAAGGAGCTGCTTGGGATAGGATTTAGAGTCAAAGTAATCATGAGGCTACAAAGGTTTTATGGAAATAACCTTAGAAAAAAGTGATCCGGGTTGGTTGTATGGAAATAACCCAAAACCAAATGATAAAAATTGTATAAGGTGTAATTTTTGTGAAAAAGTTACCAATGGGGGTATTAGCCAATTCAAAAAACACGTTGCTGGTGTTAGAGGTAATCTTCTTGTACAAAGGTTCCGGAAGCAGTTTGAGATGAGATTAGACATCTTTTGAATTTTGAAGAACCAAAAAAAGATGAAAATAAGCTTCTATGGAAGTATCTTCTCCAGCTTCTAGTCGTCGGAGTGGTGATCCGGGTTGGAAGTATGGTTATATTCTGAATCCAAGTGATAAAAATCATAGTAAATGTAATTATTGTGGAAAGGATACGAATGGGGGCATTTACCGGTTTTAAAAACACCTTGTCGGTATTACGGGGGATGTTGCCCCGTGTAAAATGTTCTTGAGGCTACTAAGGAGGAAATTACTCAATATTTGAGTTCAAAGAAGCACAAAAAGAAGGGTACATCAGCCAAGACTCTTAGCGTCTCATCTGCACAGACTACTCATACTAGTAAGAGGAAGGTAGAAGAAGAGGAGGAGGAGGAAGAGGCTGATTCAGAATAAATAGAGGAAGATGAACGTTATATTGAAGGGGGAGATGACTTTGATGATGATGGCCTCGACTCTGATGCATATGATGAGGCTTGCGCTATTGATATTTCTTCTTCTGATGATGATGATGATTGAAGACTCTTGCCTCTTGGTGCTGGGTGTTGAGTCTTGAGTCTGTTGACTGTTGTGTAACTTGTGTTGAGTCATGAGTGTTGACTTTTGCTAGACTGCGTATTTTTTTTAAATTTTTATATATTTCTGTTGTGTTGGGTGTTGACTTTTATATCACTTGTGTATGGTTTTACAGTTTATTGTTTTAACCAGGGTTTTAAAAATCAGCAAGTCGCAACGGACTCACCTAAGTCGACACAGGAACCGGGTACCGCGTGTCGATTCTTCTGCAAAACCAGGAATCGTTCGATCTTAGAGGAGAATCAGTGATTTTGAACAGTGAATTGCCTTTTTTATGTCATAAATCGCGATTCCAGTCGCTTAGTGACGTCACAGGGCAAGTCGTGACCTGAGGACATTTTGGAATTTTTTTTCAAAAAATCATGACTGGTGTACCATTTCTTTCCATTACGCTAGCGTTTAGGCTTTTGTAAAGGTATTTATACTTGCTACACTTTCTCCCATTATTTGATGTGGGACTTGCGTTAAGCCATATTATATTGAAAATTTATACAATATAGGTAATTATTGTACAAAACTCTTCAGCAGTTCGTGAATGGCTGTCGTGGTTAGCAGCAGTGGTTCTTGTGCGTGACGTCCCAAGTTCGAATCCCAGTTGGGACGTTATTGTGCAAAATTCACTTTTTGTGTTAAAAAAAAAAATTAAAAAAAATAATATCATAAAAAAAAGAGAGATAGGTTTTTACTTTTGTTTTAAAAAAAAAAACTAAAATTTATCTTCATAAAAAAAAAGAAAATAATATCATAATTTTTTTTTTTTTTAAAATATCATAGAAAAAGAAGAAGGTAGGTTTTTACCAGTGGTTTAAAAAACGGATGGGTGCCCCGGATAGGGCACCTCAAAAACCATCCGGATCGGTGAATTGGCGATTCGGATCGGGAATTGGCCGAATCGGTCTTGTTAAGCCTTAAAAGAAATCCAAAAAAATTATGAAAATTCATTATAAATGTTATTTTTTAAGAATCCAATAAGAAATAGGGGTATGACATTATTAACTTTCATTTTTAATCAATTTGTGAATAATTAAGCTGTTCTTTTTCTGTATGAACTTCTGTTAATCATTAAATTTGCTTCACATAAAACAAAAAACATAGAATTACCATGGATAAAGTATATAATCATACATAAACTACAATAAATAATGGATTAAATCGATAAAAAATGGCCACTAAAATCTCGAATTGGCGGAAAAACCTAATCCACAAAAAAAAAAAAAAACTAATTATTACAACCCCACTATAATCCATAATTATTACAACCTGTCTAATTATAATATTATATATTGCAGCGAAAATTGTTGGTTTATATTTTATTATATAAATAATAGCAAATTTAAAATATTTTATAATATCATTTAATTTAAAATGTATTATTGACAGCTGTACGGAAAATAATACATTACAAGATTTATAATGCAAATAAATAAATAAAGAAATAAAATATTTGATTATGAATATATAAATTATTCGAATGCGCATCAATTTTCAAAATAACACTTCAAATTTTCAAAATAACACTTCAAATTTCCAAAAATAACACTTCAAATTTTCAAAATAACACTTCAAATATAATTTTTTAGAATTCTAGAATAAATTTAAATAAAAGAGATTGTTAGAGACAGAGAAATATTTTAAATGTGCATAAATCATACCTTGAAATTAATATTCCTAAATTTATGTTAAAGCTTGCCATATTATAAAAATAAAAACTACAATTAGAT